TCTGTCTTCCTGCAGACAGAGGCAGCTCTGGACGTGGGAGCAGTCCCTGCCTGTGGGGCGCTTGGGTTCTCTGCAGACAGAGGCTGCTCCAGACAAGAGCAGCTCTCCTCTACAGCAGATCCCCTGTGGGGCTGGAACAGCCCTCTGCCTATGGCAGGCAGGGAACTACTTCAGCCCCCACCAGTTACTGATTAACCAGAGCTGGTACTCATTACCCATTTTGGTAACTGGTTAACTGGGTAACCTTTATACCCTCACTCTAAAAATTGTTCCAGGACCCCTGGAATGGACTTTACTGGACTGCTGGCAGCAGCAGAATGAAACATACTAGGAGCATGATTGTCCCTAACTATCCTTTATTCCCTTGTGTTTGTACGGACATCCAGATTTACATTCTGACTTGGGAATCCCCCTTCCCAGATTTAACAGTTCATTGTCCTGTAGATACAGATTTGCTGAGGGCAAAACCTGGGCATTTTTGGATCTCATGGCTAGATTGCTCTGGGACAAAGACTACAAAACTGTTATTGTCTTGGTCAAACCAGAGCAAGTGATGATCCATATTTCAGTGGTCACTGATTACCATGTAAGGACCTGCTATGTTTGTCCTGGATCTTAAGGTTATGGACAATATAACTGAACAGTGGGGGGTGATTCAAAGGTTCAAGTCTTAGGAGTGATGATATCACAAAGTTACCTGGGTGGAATGGAAAAGCGGCTGAAAAAACGGCCTACCTGTTCCTACCCATGAAAAGTAGAACAAGGCCCCAAACTCTCCATTTTATATATAGCATAATTCTGTTGCAGTCTGGGTATTAAATACCTTTGTGTGTTAGCCTTTTAATAGAAAAAATAATTGTAAGATATAGCATATTGGTGATTGGAGTCAATTATTTTCCAGGATCATGGTACCTATCTATCTTAAGTACTTATATGGCTCCCATCATCATAGTATCTGAGTGCCTTACTAATTTTAATGTGTTTAGCCTCTCAATACTATTTTGAGGCAGTGAAGTGCTATAATCCCCATTTTACAGGTAGGGAGCCAAGGCACGGAGAAACAAAGAGACTTGCCCAAAGTCACAAGGGACTAAGGGAGTCTGTGGCAGAGCAGGGAATTGAACCTGGCTTTCCTAACTTCTGATCACTGTACCATCCTTCCTTTCTACCTTAACAGTGTTTTCTTTCAAAATGTCTGGTACTGGAAGAACCATTATTAGCTCCAATGTGAAAGCACTTAAGCACATGCTGTAAACACAACTCTGTTGAAGTTAGTGGGACTAATCTATGTGCTAAATTGAAGCACATGATTCAGGATACATCTACATTATAACGTGCTATAAATAAGTATTATAATATAGATGCTGTGCTGCTCTAATGGTCATAGTGGAGATGAACTAACCTGATAGAAGAGAGCTCTCTTCAGCTCACTAACTCCCAGCTCTGCAAGAGGTGGTAGCTGCACCGGTACAAGTTATGAACATAAGAATGGCCATACTGGGTCAGACCAAAGGTCCATCCAGCCCAGTATCCTGTCTGCTGACAGTGGCCAATGCCAGGTGTCCCAGAGGGAGTGAACTGAACAGGTAATGATCAAGCGATCTCTCTCCTGCCATCCGTCTCCACCCTCTGACAAACAGAGGCTGGGGACACCATTCCTTACCCATCCTGCCTAATAGCCATTAATGGACCTGACCTCCATGAATGTATCTAGCCCTTTTTCAAACCCTGTTATAGTCCTAGCCTTCACAACCTTCTCAGGCAAGGAGTGCCACAGGTTGACTGTGCGCTGTGTGAAGAAGAACTTCCTTTTGTTTGTTTTAAACCTGCTGCCCATTAATTTCATTTGGTGGCCCCTAGTTCTTATTATGAGAACAAATAAATAACTTTTCCTTATTCACTTTCTCCACACCACTCATGATTATAAATACCTCTATCATATTCCCCTTAGTCTCCTCTTTTCTAAGCTGAGAAGTGCTAGTCTCTTTAATCTCTCTTCAATGACTGAAGATCAGGCTCTCCCAGCAACATAACACTGTCTACACCAGCACTTAGATCAGTATAAAATACATCACTTAGGGCTGTGGACTATTTGCACTCTTGAGTAATGTAAGAGTGATGAAATAACCTGTAGTGCAGACAAGGTCACAGGGTTTGCAAGAGTGAAGCCTTTAAGCTCCATCCTGAAAAGTGGCTATGTGAAATGACCCCTCTTTTTGGGCATTGCCTGGTCTATTCAATCACATCAACTTAAATAGCATGGGCTAGAATGTTTTGTATAATTTTACAGCAGTTACCGTTGAAGTCAGCACAACTGTGGGAGATTCAGATGGATTCTATTCCCACTGCTACCTCAAGGGAATTGCTCACTAAGGCTATGTCTACACTGGCATGATTTTCCGGAAATGCTTTTAACGGAAAAGTTTTCCGTTAAGAGCATTTTCGGAAAAGCGCGTCTAGATTGGCAGGATGCTTTTCCGCAAAAGCACTTTTGCAGAAAAGCATCCGTGGCCAGTCTAGACGCGCTTTTCCACAAAAAAGCCCCGATCGTCATTTTCGCGATTGGGGCTTTTTTGTGGAAAACACTACTGTGCTGTCTTCCAGAAAAACAGTTTTCCGGAAAAAGACTTTTGCCCGAACGGGAGCTGCATAGTTTTTCCAGAAAAGCACTGATGATTTTACATGAGATAGTCAGTGCTTTTGCAGAAATTCAAATGGCCAGTGTAGAGAGCTGGCAAGGTTTTCCAGAAAAGCTGCTGATTTTCTGGAAAAACTTGCCAGTCTAGATACAGCCATGCTGTATCAAGGTGTTGCTATGTTCATCACTGTCATATTTAGGTGCTACCACAGAGACACCACCAGTTAGAGCAAGTTCTGAGCACTATAGAAAGGCTTTATTAAAAAGGCATTTATCTAAAAAAGTGAATTGTTTTATAATGGAAATAGTAATGAACTAGAGGATATATCTAAATGTAGTGAGTTACTTAAAAAAACCCAGCACCTTAGATACTAAGGAAACATGAGCTTTCGTGGCACAACCCGCTTCTCCAAATGAATGGAGTGATTGAAGGTCCAGTTTCTAAATGAATGAGGACGGGGGTGAGGGGAGAAAAAAAGTGGGAAAGTGTTGTATATTGGTTTGTAGATATAGACCTTGTTCTTATGGTAACTGAGTAGGTCACTGGGGTCAGCCCAGCTAGTCTGGGCTTGTTCTGGTGAGTTCTGTGCTATGCAATAAAATGGGACACTTGCACCTACTCCAGCTCTCTGCCTTTCCACTGATTTCTTCCTATGCTCTGAAACTCCCCACGACATAACAAGTGGCAACAAGGATGGGATACCTGTGCTGCCTCCAGCAACAAAAGAAGTACACTTACAGGGCCACTGGGACCTTTTGAGGAGACTGTAGAGCAATGGCACGTATATACTGAGCGTTTTGAACTTTTTGTTATTGCAAATGACATTAAAGAAGAGAAGAAGGTGCCAATATTTTTAAGTGTTGTAGGGGCTAAGACCTATTCTCTGCTGCGCAGTTTGCTGCTCCCTGTTAAGCCAGAGACCAAATCTTACAGTGATGTTATGGAAATCCTGGGGTCACATTATGCTCCAAAACCACTGGTAATTGCAGAAAGGTACA